GGCTCCTGACAGATGGGGAGAAGTATATAGGCAACCCTTTTTCAATAATGATTGGATTAGGAATTCACAAGGATATGTTCTCAATTGTACGGAATCACCATGGAAAAGCTGAATTAAGAGGGGCATCATGCGTATTAAAGACATATAGAATATGAAAACTAAGGACTGGATTTCCTTGGATGAATTACAGGGACAGCTACGCTACTGCCATCATTCAGTAGAAGCGCTAGAACAAACTGTTGAATTAATCTCATTGGACTGGATTATGATCCTCATAAAAGAACCAAAACTGAAAGAAGGAGATTGGGTATCCATATTAAACCAATCTAGTCTAATTGGGAATATTTTGCAGATCAACCCCAATGGTGATACTCTGTTGACTCTATACAGGTTAGCGCAAAGATCATACAGTCACTCCTAACCCAGGAGATAGGACTAGATGGGTTGATAGAGACCAAGTCTTCAGAATCAGAGTCCTGAAGTATAACACTACATGGTTGGTATTCAAACCTAACACGCCAATCCATTGTCTTGCATTGGATCCCCAAAATTGGGTTTCGACCTCAACAGGAGGGAGAGGTCACAAGTATAAGAGAATGCTTCACACCTTGTCTTTCAAATCCACGTACAGGATGTTAAGACCTAGCATAAATATAAAGGACAAGGTGGGAACATATGGATGAAACAGTTGAATCTAAGCAGAGAAGTCCTCAAACCAATTAAATGGTTTCGAAATATGAAATCCAAACCAACCAAAATAGTCTCCTTACAATAGCAAATAGAACACCGTTGTCTTTCCACAAATGACTGACTGATAAGTAGAACTAATCTAGAACAGAGGGGGATAACTCTTCCTTGGTGTCGTTTTTGTAGGACTGCTTTCCCTGTAAGAATAATCCCTAAAACAATTGAACATATATTCTTACAATGCCCAGGGGTTATTTGGCTGTGGAGATGGTGGGACCGAATTTGGGATACACTGGCCACATGTTGCCGGTGGCCCTGGGAATGGAGGGCCATATTGTTGGAATCATGGGTACCAGAGCCATATGATGAGTTTACTCATAACTTATTCTTGAGTGGAAGAAGAGCGGTACTTTGGGCCATATGGAGGAGAAGATGTATCTATGAAATGGAAGGGGTGAGGTTAGATGGGTCTGAATTCACTGACTCTATTATACAACAAATCCAAACAGTTATTAGAGCTCAATAAGACAATGTTAAAGAAAAAATCCAACATTTACACTCAGCAACTGAAATCAGCAACTGAAATCAGGAAGCAGACTTAAGAATTCAACCGCAGTTGACTTGGGGGCCCACAAGGGGGGGAAATTGGTCAGGTCAAGTGGAAAGAGGGTGAGGGAGAGGGTGAGAGAGAAGAAACTAAAGACGCAAGGAATACCTGCTACATGAAGTTTGAGGAATGGGCAGTGATAGACCCAAGAGTTCCAAAGAGGCATGTGTCAGAATTCCCAAACCCTTTTCCCCCACAACCGGGTTCCTTAGTTCCTTGGTCATGGTATGGGAATGAGTAATGGATCTATTAAGTTTGACTGGTACAAGCTAGTAAATAGGAGTAAAATTAGACGCCCATAGGTGGGTGAAGAGGCTTGGTTCATCTGGCTGTGGGTTTATTATCAGGGGCATGCCTGATCATTAACGTCTGTTCACCAATAGGGCTTGAGCTTCATGATCATGTGGCCCCTTGATTGGGTGAAGACGCCTAGTTTTCATTCACCATTTCGCTAACTTTTGTATATAAGGGACGCTGGACCCGGTTTTCAGCAGGTGCAGCTCCCCACTGCCTAGATAGAGTCAGTGTCGCGTGTAGCCATCGAATACAATGAATATAACACATAGTGTTTTTCCAGATTCGATTATTCTTTGTAAATGCTCGGAATGCCGGACCGAGCATTTTTATTTTTATTTTTTTTTTTCACCCTACCTTCCGGAAAGGTAAATGTTGTCTTGGGTTCCATATTAAACCACCAGTGCTTTGGACCCTTCCCTTGCGGGCCTTCTTTTCGCGCTGCGCACCAAAGCAAAACAAACCTTGCGGGCCTTGTCTCCACAGGCTACTGCCCTAAAATATGCAAAGGAAGAGCCTTCTGTCGTAAGGATGGAGGGGTGTGGCTCAGTGGTTAGAGCACCGGTTGGAAATGCGCATTGTGGTATGAGGTTGCGGGTTCAAAACTCAATTGCAACCTTGAGCATGGACATCGGCAGGACGTTAGATTGACGCACGACTGGACGCACTCCCTTGGGCTGACGCATGGTACTATTACAGACACTGCCTACGCACTACCCAAGGGTTGTTCATGGTGGTGTATGTTGGTTATGGGTTTCACATGGGTTGCTTGGGGGTGTTGGTCTTGGGTGTTCCGTTGATCTCCCCAGTCTGGCATATCACACGTTCGTGCCATTTCCACTAGCCGTTCACATGGTAGAGCCATATGATTACATGTTTCAAGGTCACGGGTTCGAGCTTGGCTCGGATCTTGAGGGGGTCCTTGTCCAGCTTACCCAGTTCTCTCTTCGATATACACACATGATGCTGCCTATACATCTCTATACATTGATTCACAGAGCATACACAACCTTCCGGCATATACATAGCTTGCGAATCATACATCGCCTACGAGCTACATACACAAGTTTCCACACATAGTGTTGTTTGTACATCTTCATACATAGATACACGAAGCATACACAACCTTCGGGTATACACATACATTTCGAACTACACCACTATCAGACAGGGGGGTCTAGTCACTGGGTGGGGTCTAGTATCTGCCGTAGGGACAGGTATGGGCCACCGGAGTTCCAACTGATATTCGGGTAGAACTATCTAGTGGCTATATATAAGGCTTAGACCCTTGGGTAAGGGTAGGGGTATAAGTCGCTCAGGCCAGTCCGAGTTCCGCATGGCCTTGGGTAAGTTAGGGGAACGACGGTAAGACTGCTTCAATGGGTGCTACCCTGTCTGAAACCTAGGGCCCAGAGTCTCTTGGGGCCTGTAGTAGATTGTCTGGGCCTGGCGTCCGAAGTTCCCGTTCGACAAGGTTCGTCCGATTCCGCTTCCACCAGGGCCGTATAACCTATCAGCCTCGGTGCCTATATGACACCCGCGGCCCAGACCGCGGGCATTTCGGCCGCTACGGTCGAGAATCTTGGTCGCGGCCTCAGCCGATGAGGCCCACTCCGCGGCCTGTTTTTTTATTTTTATTTTTTGCCCCTAAAAATACGTAAAAAAAAAAACAAAAATATAGGGGTGTAGAGCTTGAAAAACCCCACAATCCTACGTTTTTTTATTTCGGAATCCGACTTCGTTTAAGGTTTTTAAAAAATAAAAAACGAAATTCGATTTAAACAAAATATTTTTTAAAAATCAAACAAAAAGCAACAATTTTGTTTTGGCATTTTTTATTAAGGAATGATGAGCAGCTGCGGAACTCGGATCGTCTGGAATTTTTTAATGGTCAATCCTATTTTTCTTGGGGTTGTAAACGGCAAAAGAGTGTTATCATCTGTGGTTACCTCCATAGGATCGACCAGAACACTTCCATTCGTCTGGCAATCCCAGACAGAGTGCACGCTCTAAGACGCGAAATCTCCCTGAAGGAACTGATCCGTTTTTCTAGCAGGTCCTCAAACGCTTCGCTTTCAGGCGAGATGATATTTGGAAGCAAACTGTTAAATTGTTGTATTGATGTAGGCTATCGAGTGAATCTACCTGTGTACTTCTTGGAAGTTCAGACAACCTTGCTCATGCTGTTTCTCTTGCTCATCTCCTGGACTTATTTTTTTGCTTTCTCATATTTGCATGATTACGTATCTGGACAGGGTTTTTTCCAGCTTCCTTTTCCTTTCTTTCAGTTTTTTTCCTTTGTTTTTTTTTTTCTTCTGTGGATAGGGAGTTTAATGCATGTCGTGGATTGGTTGTTTGCGGTCTCTTTAGAAGCTTTTCGTCAGGTATTTTCGTCGGGTATGTTTTTGGAACCTTCTGTGAGCTTTGCCCCTTGATCTAAATCGGAATGGGCCTACTAGAGCCTTCCGCAGGCTGTTAGCTCTGTGTTGTTTCAGGACTTTGCGAATTTTCGGCCTCTGTAGGACTGCAGATCTTTCTTGTGGACCGGCGGAGAGCCCTGTATTTCTTGTAGTATTTTTTAGGTACCGGAGCCAGCCTACCTAGCCCGCGTTTTGGACTTTCGGGGCACTGGGCCCAGTTAGGAGGATAGACGGTGACTGTTCCCACGAGTAGTATAAGTAGATTGTTGACGATATTCTCAACCTCCTGGGTTGGGCAAAGGACAATTAGTCCGGCGGCGGGTTTGACAGAAAGGAGGCGAATCATTGGGTTTGATGCTTTGATCAGATGTGCTGCTACGTCTTCCTATGTATCATCATCAATCTAGCCTATTGGCTTTTTCACTACTCGGTGACTGTGTGCATTACTACATCTGCATTTTCCTACATCCGCTGGATTGCACGTGTGAACTTACCTGGGGATCAAGTTACCGGGCTGAGTGAGCACGTTTATGCGTTCTACGTCTTCGCATACTTTGACTTGTCGAGCTTCTTGTAGCCCACGCACTGCTTTGTCATCTGCGTGGACAATTCGATTTCTTTGCATGCTGAGGGGATCAGCACGACACGACGTCTTCACAAGGTCACCACGACCGAAACGAGAGGGACCGGGAGCACGGTGAGTGGGACCACGAGCGAAGGGATAGAGATCCAACTAATGATTCGGGGGAACGAAGGCCGTATCGGCCTCCAACATGCTTCGCATGTAATGAAGTCGGGCCCTACGCTAATCAGTGCCCGAACAAGAGTAAACGCTACTCCAACGCAAGACCATCGACTTCGTCCGACTCACGTGGAGCAAGGTCTCCTAGGAGATACGAACCAAGGGGACGTGAACCATCTCCTAGTTTGGATCCGGAAATTCGGAGCACCATCGCGAAACTAGGCAAGAGCGTTGCCGTTATGGAGGAGCACTATGCCACGGAACGTGAGAAACGCGAGCAGAAAGCGCGGAAGAAGTTAGAGAAGGAGGAAGCTCAACGACCTGAGGCTGAGGAAGCAGCTCGCCTGGAGGAAGAGCGCATCTCTGCTGAAAGGAAGGCATGAAAACGGAAGCAGAAAAACATAATTGACGATCAGCGACGCGCGGAGATGCAGAAGGACCTGCAGATTCAGCTTGCTATGCACGTCGGCAAATTGGAGGACCGTCTCGTTCAGTGGTTACACCAAGCTGTAGCCGTGCCGACAATACTCGAACGAGGCAAGAAGAAGGTGTCTTATCACTCGGATGTTGACGAGTCTTCCTCTAGCCAAGGTGATGCTAGTGACACTAGCGTTACACAGGAACTCAGTGCTTGCGCCGAACGTTTGGCGATTTCGGAGAAGCGGAAACGGGGCCCCGAGCCCGTATTCGAAGACCCAAGCCCACCTATGGAGCTACCCGTAAAGCACACCCCTAAACGGGGCATCTTGAAGCCAGTCAAGCTGACTGGACGACTGACTCGTTCGAAGTCAAAGAAAGGCGGAGGAGGACTTACTCCTACATTGGCCTCCAAGAAAATCGCTACTCCTTTGTCTAAGCGGCGTACTTCGACGCAGAAGAAGACGTCGATCCTGACACTGCACTCGAAGGCCACACTGGAACACTTGCGCTATCGGGACAACATTCTACGGGAGTTGAAGGATCTCGATGCCACGGAGCTACAACGGATTTGCCGTGAGAAGGCCATTCATTACGATAAGAAGATCGAAGCGATCTTCGACATCGAGGATCACAGAACCGAGCGGGCCTTTGCTACTGCACTAGCCAAAGTTGAACGGATCGCCATCTCGGATGATACGAATGTTGAGCAGGAGGATGTACCTACTAACGATGGGTGAGGACGGTTGTCAATACCGCAGCTCTGGAAGGTTTGTCGTTTTCTTTCTCATCTTCGATGCGAATCCATGAAAGTAGACAAACGTATTGAGAAGTTGCTCCGTCTAACCTTTCTTTTGCTTGCAGTTCAGAAGCAGATCCGTTGGGCTAACAAATTCATTGATTGCTGGTTGAACTTGTATGACCGTCATGGTTTGGATTTCCTAGATCTTTCAGATTGCATGTATGTCGGCGTTTCTCCTTTCTGTAAACTGTTTTTATATTGGTAAATCCACACGAGATGTTGACACGCGATGGCGAAAGCATATGTACGCCTGTCGTAATCGCAAACCCTCACACTTCCACCAATGGTTAGGTAATTTTGGTGTTGGTAATTACCTATTGCTTCCTATCGACATCATCGTGGGTAGTGATTTGGATAAATTGGAGCGTGTGTACATCAAACTTTGGTCCCCAGTTCTTAATACTAGCGGGTGTGCCAAGAGGGGCACTAAGCTCAATTGTAACAAAGCTGGTAAGAAGGAGCGAGCTAGGGGAAAGGGGGCCATCGATTCCAATTGTAATTGGAAACCAATTCGCTTCCGCATAGTAACCGCTTATGAATGGCTGGTTGATTTTTACGTTTTCTTCGATAATATTTTGCTATCTGGTAACACTTCAGTCGACTTCTTTATTCAACTAGGGAATATCTGGCAACCTAGCTGGAGTAAGTTAGTCAAGACTTTTGGTGGCACTAAGATAGTGCATGCTTAAGGAACCTTCTGTTTAAAAGATTGTAAATCGTTGTTGCAAACTGGAGGTTGTTTTTCTGTCCTACATGTGTGCAAATGGTCGGCACGTTGTGGTTTTCTCAAAAAGATCCTAATTGGTATCCTTCGGAATCCTCATCAGATCTCTGTACTGCGTAACTGGGGTATGCGGTCCTTTTTGCGCATCTACCGAGTCATCAAGGATTTCTCCAGGAAATCAACTCGGAAGTATCTTCGTAGACTTCTTTCGCACCGCTTTCGTGATCGTTTTGGTTTGGGTCTTCGTGCTGATTTGATTTTTCGTATTCATTTCGACGACCATATCATTATTTCTGAAGTTTGTAAAGTACTTAACGACGCTATTATGTTACAAAAGTTGCCGAAGTGCTTTCTGCACCGGGCACGGAGGAAGGTTCGGATAGTTGGGGCAAAAAACCCAACTGTGGCCGATTTATTGCACAATATGCGTAGTCTCTCGACACGTACGGTGCTGACTTGCACTTGCGTAGGTCTTGACCTCCCACACTCGGGGAATCATGTTTCGTTCCGACTAAGCGAGCTCATAGGGATTCACCCCCTGCCGAGTAACGCTAACAACGTTCGATGTGCACGTATCGATGATCGCCTACCCTCTTTTCGTGAGGAATTGCGCTCTGGATTTACAAATTGGTATAACTGCGTCGACACTCCACTGTACTTTAGTAATGATGTACTGTCTGCCTGCTTTTCTTCTGCCACTAATAGTAGGCGTTGCCTTTTTTTGCACGAAGTCCTTGAGATCAAGCACCGCTTTCAGGGTTTGGTTCTTACTGCCGTGGATCAAAATCCCGACGAAACTGTGGTCATGTGTCCTCTGATTTACTACAAGGCGATGTTGGATACTTACGTCCTGAACCCAAGATATCGTATCATTGATTGCCCCGAGAGCCTTGTGCTCAGAGAGTTTCGAGAGCATGTCACTTCAACTGGCCTAAAATCCTTTGTTAGATGGGACAATAGGGGTAAGTTTGGGGCAACCTACATTATGCCCAAACACAAGGATTTGAGTCGTTATCGTCCTATTTGTCGCTCATTCAGCGAGTTAATGACTCGTACGAGACGAGTTGTCTCTAAGGCTTTGAACCACTTGCTCAACACGATTCCGAAACACTAGCACTTCAACTTATCAGCGGTGTCGGATTTGACTGCAAAGCTGAGTTCAGCTAACTTGAAGTTATTCCAGCTCGGTGTGAACCGTGTTATTAAGTCTCATTCTTTTGCTATTAAGGACATGTTCACAAAACTTCCTCATGACGATATTCGCCGAGCCGTTGATTGGCTCATTCAGTATCACATGGACAAAGGCCATGCATTCGTTCCTGTTAATACAATGGGTAAGGGCTCGAGTTTCGGACTGACCACGGGAGGGGACCATTGGAGGAAACTTTCTCTTAATGACATTCGCTCCTTCGTTTTCCTTGAACTGAATCATACTTACTTCCATGCTACTGGAGTTTTGTTGAAACAGGATGTTGGGATACCCATGGGGAAAAGCACCAGCCCTCCCCTAGAATGCATCCTGTGTGCCTTTTCAGAGTACAACTTTATATGCGGTATCGGTAAGGCCACTCGTTGCATTTTCGCCTCGCATTTGATGGACGACGTCATGTTGGTAACTTCCTCTCGTGCAGGGGACGATCATGCATTATTGAATGCTTTCCAGACTTGTTATCCAAACAATCTGCAGCTCAAATGAATTGACGATGGTACTGGGATCCTGGACTTTCTCGGATGTCAAATTCGCGTTGTGCAGTTCTTCCCATATATTGACAGTATTCAGACTTCAAGGAATGATGAGCAACTGCGGAACTCGGATCGTCTGGAATTTTTGAATGGTCAATCCTATTTTTCTTGAGGTTGTGAACGGCAAAAGAGTGTTATCATCAGTGGTTACCTCCATAGGATCGACCAGAACACTTCCATTCGTCTGGCAATCCCAGACAGAGTGCTCGCTCTATGACGCGAAATCTCCCTAAAGGACTTTCCTGATCCGTTTTTCAAGCAGGTCCTCAAACGCTTCGCTTTCAGGCGAGATGATATTTGGAGGCAAACTGTTAAATTGCTGTATTGATGTAGGCTATCGAGTGAATGTACCCGTGTACTTCTTGGAAGTTTAGACAACCTTGCTAATGCTGTTTCTCTTGCTCATCTCCTGGACTTACTTTTTTGCTTTCTCATATTTGTATGATTACGTATTCTGGACAGGGTTTTTTCCAATTTCCTTTTCCTTTCTTTCAATTATTTTCCTTTGTTTTTTTTCTTTCTGTGGATAGGGAGTTTAATGCATGTCGTGGATTGGTTGTTTGTTGTCTCTTTATAAGCTTTCGTCAGGTATTTTCGTCGAGTATGTTTTTGAAACCTTCTGTTAGTTTCGCCCCTCGATCTAAATCGGAATGGGCCTACTAGAGCCTTCCGCAGGCTGTTAACTCTGTGTTGTTTCAGGACTTTGCGAATTTTCGGCCTCTGTAGGACTGCAGACCTTTCTTGTGGACCGAGGGAGAGCCCTGTATTTCTTGTAGTATTTTTTAGGTACCGGAGACAGCCTACCTGACCCGCGTTTTGGACTTTTGGGGCACTGGGCCCAGTTAGGAGGATAAACGATGACTGTTCCCACGAGTAGTATAAGTAAATTGTTGACGATATTCTCAACCTCCTGGGTTGGCCAAAGAACGATTAGTCCGGCGGCAGGTTTGACGGAAAGGATGCGGATCGTTGGGTTTGATGGTTTGATCGGGTGTGCTGCTACTTCTTCCTATGTATCATCATCAATCTAGCCTATTGGCTTTTTGACTACTTGGTGACTGTGTGCATTGCTGCATGTGTATTTTCCTACATCCCCTGAGTTGTGCTGTATTTTTTTTTTTTTAATGATTTTCGTTTTTGTGTTCGGAAACTAGGTGTTTAAAAAAAATGAAGATGCAAAAATTTAAAACAAATCAACAAAAAAAACAGGCCAGGCTGGGGTTGGTGTGTGTGTCTGTATCCTCTTGTGTGTGTGTGTGTGTGTATGTGTGTGTGTGTGTGTGTGTGTGTGTGTGTGTGTGTGT